TTAATGGCCAAAATCAATCCAAAGAACGTATAGTAAACCAGATAGGCTTCATCTTAAAATAAGTTAAAGTAAGAAGAGAAAAAAACTTACTGAGGGAGAACAAGACAGACTAAGAGATTCTTGTTCTGGTCTTGGTATAGCTAAGAGAATGAGGGAATTTGAGAAGGTAGCACATAAACAATAGCGGTATTCACTTGAAGTACACATGTTTATGTACCTATCTACTCAGTATTGAAGTTTAAATTCAAAATCAATTTAGGAAGTGATTATAACGTAGATATAATTGCAAATGACTATGAAAGATACATGAATTACAATTTGGTCGTTTCGAAAGCCATTGTGCACAAACGTTAGCTCACGGCGTAGAAGAAAACTTACTCTAGCCGCAGCACTTCCGAGCTCATATCTGCAACCAAATACAAACAAACAACAAAAATCGAGGGGTATTTACAGCATGGCCACAAGATGTGTGAGACAAAAATTTACGTTTGACCCAACGGGTTACTCGAATACTAAAAATCGTAATTAGACGATGACGTGCATATGAAGACGACGCTAATACAAACCTGAAGATGAAGACGATTGAGGAACCGCACACGTGAGGACAAAGACGCGAAGATCACGACTCACGAGGAAGACGCTAAGAAGAAGATTCGAAAAAAAATGCGTAGACAAAGACACCAATGTGAAAAGCCCCCAAGAGAAAGAGGAAGACGAAGTAAAAAACGGATATGAATACGGACAAATAAATCTAACTGAGTAATTATCTATGAAACTGCTTTAAAAAGAATAAAAAGTCGACAAGGACAAAGCCGTTTAGGTGAAGACAAGTATACCAAGAACACGCGAAGATGAACCGGCGAACACGGAGACTCGAATACAAAGACAAAAAGACGTAGGTTCCTTAGCGAAGAGGAAGACGAAGACAAATGTAACTAACAGATCTTTTGGAAAATAAAAGAAATTAACGCAGGCGAAAATACGAAGACTAAATCGTCAATACGCACATTTGAAGACGGAGAAGAAGTGTTGCGGAAAAAAAGGTGCGAGGACGGTGATGAAGACGCAAAGAAGTAGATTCAAAGGGGAAGGGGAAATGACCCACGGACGAAGAGGAATATGACGTTGAAACCGGAGCAAATTGCGTTTAAAAAAATGACAAAGTTTACAAAAAACGAAAAAGCAGGGGGGGGGGGACACTGAGTTGAAGACTGCAAGAGTCGAATGTAAAGTCGAAAACGGAAGCAAACAGTGAAAAATATGACTATCATTGCAACTCCCCTTTAGGAAAGTGCGCTAAAAAAAACCTAAAATTTAGGCGAGGACGAAAAGGCGACGCCCAAGACGCGAAGACAAAGATGCCAAGTCAAAAACGTGATGTGAAGACGAAAGCGTTAAAACAAAGGCGCGGGGTCAAAGGGTCAAAAGATTCGAAAAAGAATTGGCGGAGCCAAAGCCACAAACACGAAGACGTGAAGAGGAAACGGCAATAAAGAAGACGTGAGATATGGAGAACGAATACAAAAACAGATACAGAGAAGTATGTGCTAAAAAATTAAATGATAATGGAAGGATGTAGACGCTGTAATAGTTTCATTTTTTTTATTTAAATTATTATTGGTTGAGTATCACTGTAATTTTTGTTCGAGAACCACTGGATCTCCAAATCGTACTGTATTTCGTGGTCTCGAATTTCTGTTAGTGCGTCCTTGGGTCGAATTGAAAATGCGCACAGTAACTTACTTTCGTTCGCTTGATTGTTTTGCGAGTACGTTGGTGTGGGTCGAGTTAAACTTTTTTTCTCATTTTGGAGGCTTTAAATTGAACTTATTGATTGGATGTATGTTAATAATTCCCGAGCAAGCCCTTGGTGACGATACGACAGATGGGCGAGGTAGCTGGTCCGCGATGCTGTCTCTGGTTGCTACCAGTCACCGTTTCATAAGCAACAAGCATCCTCATTCCTAGCATTAAACTATGCGTCACTTAGCTCAATCGCTTAGGCCGTTCCCCTATTCGCCACCTGGGGACGCGCCTGATGGGGTGCCACCTTTCGAAAACGAAGGGGTTGTAAGATTGGGATCGAACAATTAGAAATGGTTCCATCTACTTAAAAAAAATGAGTCTACAGCCGAAAGGGAAAGGGAATTTAGATAACCCTGAAAAGGAAAAAGTTAATTAAGGACCCGCGCCAGAGGGTTTCTCAGTGATTTCGTCAGCAACTTGTATGAAGGTAAACATTTCCATCAAATTAATTTTCTACAGCCCTAGCTTCACCTTTTCCGCCTCTGACGTAAGTGAAATCTCACAAAAGAGAAAAGAGTTAAGCTGTAACTATAACATTAATGACGATTTCGACGTCCAACGCTTTTCTTACATGAACTGCTATAGAGTACGAGAACTTCAAAGTCACATCGTCCATTGTACATCTAACAGATTTCACATCCTAGTTGAAGAGAACTTGAAATTCGGAGACGAGTACCAAACTGGGAAGGCGGTTGTAATGTTCCTAGGGGTCTATCAAGCCGACACTGAATACGTTGACTTACCCTATACTTACCGTTGGCAACTCTGGGGAAAAACTACAAGCAGAGCCACCTATATCTTTCAAGTTGAAACGATGGACGTTTCGCGGCACTTTTGAATTTGGATGGCAGTCGGCTCGATATGGGTAGCACGAATGAATTCCTACGTTGTGTAATCCGTTCTTGTATGTGTTGGAACGCGTGACATAATCGAGAAGGGAATTAAATAAAAGACGGAACCTTTGTGCGTAAGAAAAGACAAGAACAAATAAATAGTATATTACGCACACAACAAGACCATGCCAGGGAAACCTTATACGGGACTAAAACCCTGGCATAGGCTACACAAATACATGAAATAAATCACCTACAGCAATAAAATGCAAGAGAAAATACACATAAGTAAAACATCTCAAATTCTATGATAAAAAACAGATAATCAAATCTAATGCAAACAAGTTCATAAAAACAAAATGCACAAGACATCATAAATGCAGTGGGAAACATGATACATCAATTCGGTACAAAAACACATCAAAATACCTGTACGATCAATTGAGATAACACACACAACTCGTAAAATAATAAGTTGCATGTACATAGCATACATGTAAATGGCTCCAGCCTTCCGTTAACATAGTTTAACTTAACACGAAAAGTACATGTGAGAGTGCCAATGGCAAATAGCAAGTATGCATGTGAAAATCGATTATCGCTCAAGCAGAACATATTTTAAATAGTGGAAATGTTAATGAGAGGGCCCCTTCTCGTATTGCTAAGATGCTAAGAACTGCAATCCGCACGAGACGAGTAAGCAACAGATACAGCGAAAGATCGAACTGCATGAGGTACCTACTCCAGGGAGACAGGTTGAACCACTCGCACACACACAAACATCGATACATTAAATAAGAGAGCTCCCCTTCGTTTAGCTAGCGCACAAGAACTGAAGCGCGCCACGAATCAGAAAGTAACAGATACAGCGAACAATCAAACTGTATTAGGTACTTACTTGCCTTACGGAATAGTTACGGATCAATCGAGCAGAGCAACATCGCACTGATGATCAACTCCTCGTGAATACAAAAATAAATACTTAATAAAACAAGATATCGTAGTTTATGATAAATCATCAAAATGTAAATAATATCAAATTGTGGCAAGAAATTCAATGATTAAATAGCTAGTACAAGAAAGAATAAAATGGTTACTACCTGTAGATACACCTTCAAAACACCACCACCAAAATAATTAAGTACAAAAAAAACGGGAAAGCGTGATGCCTTCCGTCGACCTTGTCGCCATCTTCCTCATTCTCCCCGAGCTTCGTTACCAAAATCCCCTAGTATTCAGCATCTTATATACAGAGCATATCATATTTTTGTTTCGGATGTTAAGGTGTGTTGCCTAACCATAAGGGTGGATTATCACACGGCAATCCTTGCCTTTTGTTGAGAGTACGCCCGGAGATTTGTTTTTGTTATTGGTGGTGGGGGTTTAAAAAGGATTTCTGTTTTGTTTGAGTGTATATTATGACGATGCGACTTACATACGCATCATTTCTTTAGGAGGTAACTTGGGACTAGTCACTCTTGGCTACAACACCATGCCATCATCGAGATCTATACAACACTTATTTTAAATTTATTTAATTATTTATTTATTTACTTATTTATTGGTACGAAGCGAGGAAACATCTTGAGTTAACGGGAACTGTAAATTGCATAATGAAGTAGTTTGGCTGTGCTTTTTTTTTTGTATTTCGGATTGAACACCGGAACAGAGGTCCCTTCCTACGTCGGCAATCACTGCATTAAAGGTAATTTTTTTTTGTTTTATTTGTTACTTGTGCCTCTATTACCGATGCGAGTTTTGTTCGAAAGCATTTTACCCATTGGGAATTTTTGTGATGATCATTATTGAATCAGGGGATTTTTTTTTTAATTTTTAGCGCATTGTTTAAGAATTTAAATAAATGTGCTATTGTTTGCGTTTTGTCCGTCCGTCCGTCCGGACCCACTTCTACCGCATGGGGGGGGGGTTAAAAATTAATTTTCTCTCTCATTGTATTCTAATTAAAGGTCTCAACGAAAGGAACAGTTTTCTACTAAGTACCGCCCTTCTTTCTGTCTTCTTATCAAAGTACAGGGTGAAGGGAAGAGAGGGGGGGAGAGGAGTGGAACGCGTTTTATCCTTCATGGTACTCTAATGAAAGGTCTCAACGAAAGGAATTAGTTTCTACCAACCATAGCCCTCCTACTCAACCTCTTACCGTTATCGGGTATACTCCCTTATACCTCAAGATTGTCGGAAGAGGGTACTCACAAAGGGCGATTGAGACGTTTGCAAGTAATATATCCATTGGTAATGTCAAAACAAAAGCTATTTCGGTTCAATAAATTCGCTTTATCTGCACAAGAGTTGTGCATAATTTATAATTTATACTTGTTTTAATTTGGTTTTGGTTTGGAAGGATAAGAATATCAAAAAATGTCCAGTTATCGCAACATTTCGGAGGCATGCTTCGAATGTTTCACAGTAGATATGAAGAGGCTGCTGTTCCACTGATGAAATACAAGCACGTTTCTAAGGAAAAGCAATTACGAAATGTTGTTTCAACACGTTCCTCTAATCACCGGACGTGACGATTAGCCCTCGACTCCATCGCTTGGCCGCCTTTCAACTCACAGATGCTGGGGACCGTTGAACAGTCATGTTCTGGATTGTACTCCTCTTCAATCTTCTCGGGGCGACAAATGCCGTCCGTCTGGAGGTAAATGTAAACGAATTTGCAACAACATTCCAAATATTCGTTTCAGGCATGCGACGAAGAGTGCTTGACACAAAAAAGAGTCGCCTTTGTGTCACCCACCATATCCGAGTGCGTCTGCGCCACGGGGGTGGATTGGACTCTAGTTTATCGATATCTGTACGACCGCGATTTCTTCACCGATGCATGCTTCATGTGCTTCGTACGATGTGTACAGCTTAAGACCTACACGGCTTTTCCCGACGGTACCCTAAACGTCGACAGCGTGTTAATGACGTTTCCTGATGCCGATCGAGATGCTCTCTGGGAATGCTCCTTGTCTGTAGAGCACATTTTGGACAAGTGTAAAAGAGCGTATCAAATGTCAATTTGCGCGCTTGATGTTATATTTGGACACCATTAATTTGTTATTAACTTGAGTTTATAAATAAATATATAACTGGAAAAATAAGGGTTTCTTTGAACTACTTGGTAATCTACTCAGTGCAGGTACACTCCAAACTTGGACCTTGAAGAACTATCTGAAGCAGTCAGGCAGGCACGTTCTACTTATCGACGGTATGCCTCAAGTCTCGACAGATGTGTTAGATCTTTGCGCAGTCACGATGTGGCTAATTCATCTTCTGGTCGTCACAAATGCTAATGGCCATGAGGTAAATTTTGAATATTTTCGAAAATGTTTTGAGTTCTCGTTTTAGATATGCGACGAAGTGTGCAAGGCACAAAAAAGGATCGAGCTACTCTCACCCGTTGTAACAGAGTGCGTCTGTTCAACGGGGGTGGACTGGGCCCTGGTCAATCGATGGTTCAACGACCTCGAGTTCTTTAACGACTCGTGCTTCATGTGCTTCGTAAGGTGTGTGCAAATAAAAACGAATCTGATTAAACCCGACGGAACCTTAAATATCGACAAGATAGTGACGTTAAACCCTGATGTCGATCGCAATGCTCTCCTTGATTGCTCGACTTCCGCCGAGCGAATTTTAGATGTTTGTAAGAAGTCGTATCAATTGGGAATTTGCACGTTGGAGGTTGTTTTTTCGCATTATTAGTTTGTTAATGATTGTAGTAAAATAAACATCTTTAACCGTTCTTATTAATTGGACGCGTTTCGTCAGCAAAGCTGTCATTATCGGTGGATCAAATGGAAAAGTATCGGTTAAACCAACACACCCTATATATACAGTAACGAAATTACACGCATAGCGCTTTATGTTGTTACCATAGCGGTGATTTTCTATTGGTTTAAAACGCACGGGGGACTCGGCAGTTTTGGTGGTTCCACTTTCAATTTCATATAAGTAGCTGAACGCACGATATTTGAAGGAGGCGCTTTAGGTATGTGAATGTGTATATACGCGAATTAGATAGTTAGAGTTACGAACAGATACGTAACGTCTTTGAAATTGTGTACTTCCTCATGTAGGTTGCCAATTAATGCATATAAAACATCGGTAAGTAAAATCGTATAATGTGAAAATGATTCCTTTTGATATATAAATTCAAGACGATAAGCGAAGTGTCGACACCGTCGCAAAGGCAACGAATAAGCTACTGGAAGTATAACAAAGCAGACTAAAGGTATACACCCCCTCCGAAATCAGGGGGATCGCGAGAAGGATCGCAGAAATATTATTCACTACAGCATAGATAGACAGCATGCCAGATCAGAAGGCGATTGTACTCCAAAGACTATGGATGGGAACCTTAAACTATTTATTGATAAGGGTAAGGGAAACAAGAGTACAAAGCTAAGATACCACTAAGGAGGCGGTTAAAGGAGCCCTGGGGGAAACAACAGAGGATCAAATAGAGGCGACAGAGATACGAGTAGCCTAGAACGTCACACTTCCGTTGCCGAAAAGCAGTGAAAGGAGGATGGACGCTATAAACACCATATTGATAGGGATCACTAAATCGCAAGTACGTAAAATCAAAGCAGATGTGTGCTAGGAACTGAAAAAGGAAGAGAATTGTGGAGAAAGAGACACAAGAAACAAATGCCTCAACTACAGAAGGGAGGGACACTTTAAAGATAACTGTCCAAACGAAAAGAGATGCTTAGGGGCCTATTCTCTAACGCTTAACGATGTCGTTACAAAGCGGTTGTCGTTCGGCAACGACTTTTATGATATAATAGTCAGTGATACTGTCGTTCAAATCGTTACCATTACGATATCGTTTGTTAACGACAATATACAGAATAGACCTCTACAAACAAAATATCTGGGGTAGGTAATAGGCAGAATTGGAGCACGTCAGGTATGCAGCGGAGAGGACTATAAACGCGGTGCTTGTACGAATCATGCGAAATGAAGGGGGGAGGCGTCAAAGAGAAGGGTGCTGAGCTCGGCAACAAACTCGGGGTTACTGAAGTGTGGGCGGGGGCGCTCGAGTTGGGGTGTGTCAAGAAAATGATCGATAAACAGCAATTAAAATCGCTGGTAGGTATCGAACCGTGCTATTGGAGGATACGTTGGTTGTGGCCGGCATCTCAACGGCTGACGTTATAGTTAAGGGCAAAGTGGGGGTTGGTAAGTTTTTTCTCACGTATATCTACTGCGCTATTCCTCCCTCTATCTTGGTTTGTGTTTTGATTTGATTGCAGGCTATTGGCAGAGAGTGCCCTTCTAAATTCAGACGTCCATTTGTTGACTGGCCGTAGAATACGCCGACCCCTCTCTACTTTGCCGTGAACCAAGAAATATTTAACGCTTCTTTCATTCATTTCATGCTACAGTTTTTTTCCATTCCCAAGTTCTTTTGCGTCCTCCCGCTTTTGTCTTCGCACTATCCTTTTCTCGCACACTTCAGGACTTATTCATTTTGCAACACTCCTCCATGTCTAGTGTTTATGCTGTATTTTTATTTGCACATTTTTTAAGAATTAAAAAAATGTGCTATTGTTTGCGTTTTGTACGTCCGTCCATCCGGACCCACTTCTACCATTTTGAACCACTTCTAGGGGAATGGTCCTAGATTCCTGAATTTTTTTGCAGTACGTAGCCTATACCTTGAAGGTGTGCCACACGGCCATCAAATTTCGCTTTCTAAAAGGGGGGCCCCCCACGAATTACTTCCTGAGATGCTGTGTTTGAAAGTAAAACGTGCATAACTTTTAAATACGACAACCAATTGGCCTCAGATTTTGCATACGCATATGCTTTTAGTGGTTTCAAGTTAAACTTTAAAAAATGGGGGGGGGGGGGGGGGGGGGCACATGTTCTTACCCTTCATGGTTTTCTAATGAAGGTCTCATCGAAATAAATTGGTTTGTACAAACTATAAACATTCCCGTGCTACTATTTTTCGAAATCAGTGAGCGACGGGGCCCGAATGGGGGGGGGGGGTTTAAATTAATTTTATCTCTCATTGTATTCTAATTAAATGTCTACCTACTACTGCCATTATTTCTGCCTCTTACCAAAGTACGGATGGAGGGGGGGGGGAGTGGAACTAGTTTTATGCTTCATGGTACTCTAATGAATGGTCTCAACGAAATGAATTAATTTCTACCAACCATAGCCCTCCTCCTCGACCTCTCATCGTGATCGGGTAAATTCCCTTGTACCTTAAGCACGGATTGTTGGAAGAAGGTACTCACAAACGGCCCTCCAGGCCTTCTCCATACACCTAACACTCACTTTCCCTAACGTAACACTATTCTCTCTTGCTTCTTTGACTCACGGCGTCGTTCCTTTTATATATTCATTTAGTTTTAATTTGAATTCCTTCTACGATCTATTTTACGTTCCTGCTTTTAGGCCTCATTTTGTAAGCTTGCTGCCTTTTAAAAATATTTATTCACGTCTTCTCCACTCCCCTTCCGTATTGATGATCTTCATTTCTCAACTTTTCCCAATCCTCCTTTTTTGCCCCCATGTTGCGATATCTTCCTCATGCCTTGTTCCTTAACATCATCCATACTTATTTCTTCTCATATTATTCGCCCTTTCCTCGCACACCCTTCAGGACTCATAGTTCAAGACTCATTCATGTATTTTTCTTTATCCTTCCCTTCATTCGATTCCCTCTTGGTAAACCTTCATGCTGGTTTCCTTTTTCGCGTCTTTCTTCAAACAGGTTACATCTTCTTAACGCTCTCTGTACGCCTCTTTCATAGTCTTTCACGCTCTCTACTCCTTTAGGCTTCTTTCACTAGGTACTTTATTTTGTCATACTCCTTCTTTCAAGTTTCTTCCATTAGTACTCTTCATGTATCTTTTCTTACGCTCCTTGCGGCCACATGTTTGGCCGTCATGCAACTTCCACACATCCTCTATAGAAAGGACCTTCCCTTCAGGTTTTATACCTTGACGCTTCTTTTATCATTCATTTCTCCTTGACATCTACCATATTCAGGACTTCTTCACGTACTCTTCACGACACCATCATTCGTAATTAGCAAGTAATAAATTCATGCTTTATTAGTGCGCCCTTTCCTCTCACTTGGTGCACAACAGTTTGGAAATCCTCTATTAACTCATCCTTATACCTTTACATCGCCTCCTTTAATCACGCATTCCTTCTTTCCGGTAACCGATCACTGTGTTTCGTAAACAGAATGATCCCGTAGCTAACGCTGGTGATACAATAACTAAGTCGGAACGGCTTCCTTACAATGATACGGAGAAAGTAAATCTTGAAGCTGCGGACTAGAACCTCCCGAACGTAAAGGTCCTCCAGTGCAATAAAGAGTTCTTTCCTTCGTGCGTTGTTTGTGCCCCTTTAATGCCTTCATCCTTTTTTCTCTTCATGTTTTGCCAATTTCCTCGCGTCTCTTTTTTTAATATCTCTTCCCGTTCTATCATACCCTTTTCACATCTCCATATTTATCGCTTCCCTCAAGCTCTCATTACTTTTCCATCATCAATCTTTCCCTTTAACATTTCTTTGTGTCACTTTCACATCGCCGTCTGATGTCCATGAACCTAGCAGAGCAAGGTCAGCAGATCACAATCAGACATATAAATGCTCCTTTTTATTTTAATTATTAAATGTTTTGCCAGGTTTATATGAACTCAGCAGAACACTACCCCAAAAAACCAAAAAATGAAAAGTGAACTAACTATAATAATTAGGTACCAATTAGGTGCTAATTAAGTGCCCTATCCCCGAATTAAATTCTCCTTTTTTTAAAATTATATCATGTTCTGCCAGGTTCATATGAACTCCGCTGAACACTACCTTTAAAACCCAAGAAAATGAAAAGTGAACTAACTATAATTAGGTGCTAATTAGGTGCTAATTAAGTGCCCTATTACCGAATGCTCCTTTTTTAAAAAAAATTATGACATATTCTGCCAGGTTCATATGAACTCAGCAGAGCCCTGCCTTAAAAACCAAGAAAACGAAAAGTGAACTAACTAATAATTAGGTGCTGATTAGGAGCTAATTAAGTGGCCTGTTTTCAAATTACAATCAACACTAGACGCGACACCACTGTCTTTTTTTCTACTCGGCAAACCTGGTAAATTCATACCCATACAAAACATAAGCATTTCCAATGCTAAAAAGGAGCATTTAATTCGGGAGTAGGGCACTTAATTAGCACCTAATTATAATTAGTAATTCACTTTTCATTTTTTTGGATTTTTGAGGTAGTGATCTGATGAGTTCATATGCACCTGGCAGAACATGTAATAATTTAAAAAAAAAGGAGCATTTAATTCGGGAATAGGGCACTTAATTAGCACCTAATTAGCACCAAATTATAATTAGTAATTCACTTTTAATTTTTTTGGGTTTTTGAGGTAGTGATCTGATGAGTTCATATGCACCTGGCAAAACATGTAATAATTTAAAAAAAGGAGCATTTAATTCGGGAATAGGGCACTTAATTAGCACCTAATTAGCACCTAATTATGCAATATGTTTGATTGTGTTCTGCTGACCTTGCTCTGCTAGGTTCATGGACATCGCCTGCCCTTCACACTCCATTAGCAAATCCCTTGCACATACACTTCTCATTCAGACCCTTTTTTTGTGGCTGATTTATATGACCAATCTTTCCTCTACTTTGTGCTTCTTCACAGCAATGCCCATTCCTTCGCGAGTCACTCTTATCTTATTTCTTCACGCCTCTTTCATGT